GGCCCGGGCTGGCTCTCCGGGCGCCGGCCGCCGCCGCTGCCCTCCCGCCCCGGCTTTCCCAGGCAGCGCCTCCCTCGCCTCTTGGGCAACCCACGCGCACAGACCTGGGGCTGACAACACCTTTAGTTTCTCTTACTGAAGCCGGGTGCTCCCCCCTCCCCGATACAGCCCGTCTCAGTAACTCATAGAGTTATTTTTACCGTTGCCAAAGAGCTGTTTCATTTGGACGCCGTTTCAAAGTCTTGCTGGAGGATAGCGACTTTTTCCTTATGTACAATGCATACATACACTTGGCAGTTTAAGAGAGCGAAGTAGCATATTTCAGTTGCTAAAATCTCTGTAGTGTCTGTGGTGAGATAAATGATCGACTGGTTTATTGAAAATACCCTTAAGCAGTGTTTGTTAGCACACAGCCCCAAATTAAAACAACATAGTGGTACAAGGTAAGCAAGTGGGAGAAGAGAAGATTATATGTTAGATTCAGAGCAGCTCTACTCCACTCTGACATTATGGCAAGAGCTGGGTCTTCAGCTGGTGTAAATCACAGCAGCACTGACTTCCACGAGGCTACGCCAATTTACGTCATCGGAGGATCTGGCCCAAATTCGTGCAAGTCATGTCCAAAATCCCAGTGTTTTACTGTCATGAAAATGTCAACATTTACTTCTCAGCTTATCACAATACATGTAGGTTGAGCTAGTCTGTAACCCTGCTTTGCAAAAAAGGGCAAGAGAAGTTACCAGCACCTGGCAAAAATACGCTGTTCTGACATTTCTGCCTTTTTGATGTTTCTTGCTCTTTTAGGAAAGCGAGATTCTTCAGCAGGGGCTAGTGATTTTTATAAGCTTTGATTTGCAAAACTGCCTATCTTCAAGGTAGTGAGTCATCTCCCTGTCTCTAACAGGACTTCCCTCCCTCGCCATTGGGAGAGAGGGGGGCGTGAAGGCTGATTCTCTGAAGGTGGGAGCTCAGCTCCCCCAAATGTGCCCCAGGTTGGACACCCCAAAGTCAAGGCATCCCCCATTACTGGTAGGAATCTTAGCCAGAGTATTTCAATCCTATGGAGAAAATAAAACCATGCATGCCAGGTGAGCGAGCCAGCAGTTTCGTAAGGCAAGCCCAGCTTTCTCTCACACACGTCTACTCCCAAGCCAGGCATAGCTTTCCGCATGTTGGGATCCTGAAGCATTTGCCATCGTAGTGAATGCTTCCATATGATTCTTCATGGAGGCCTTGAAAGAACATCTGATCCCACCAGAGGCTTCCAAGAACTGAGCAGTGAGTATAAAATCTTTAACTGAAACTCCTGACATGACAGTATGTAACAAAAAAATATAAATATGAGCTGTTGCTAAAATGCAACCCAGAAGCAGTAGAAAGTGAGGAACCGTCTCAGCAGCATGCGGGCAGCCGCCAGCCCTGTCCCAGGGTTTATGTCCTCTACGGGCCTGCCAGAAGCTTGCTGACAAAGTCGATCACAAGAGACGCTGGCTGCACAGTGTCGTACTCCGCAAACAGGTGACAGAGATTCTCCGAATCTGTTTGGCTTTTGGCCACAAACCCAAAGATTCTTTGAAAAAGAAGAAAGAGCCTTATTTAGTTTGCATTCAGGAATCCAAAGGAATATGCTTAAACTAGCCCCAGCCACAAAGCAAAATCCCAGCTCCAACAACTCCACCTTGGCCTGTTCCCCAATCACGTTTACTTGGAAGAAAAACAATTGGGAAAAGTATTTCTGGCAAGGTCTTCCCAATGTAAAAAGTTTCTTGAACGCAAGGTAGAGCCAGATATCAACTCACTTCCTGAGTCTAGAGCAAACAAGTAACTGTGGGAAGGTTAAAGGATCCGGATGGGCCCTTTCTATTTAAGGGGCCACAGAGAACATTGTGCATTATGTTCATGTCTGAAACTTTGGAGTGGAGCAAAGACTCCGTAAAGCTTTACCCATTTGTTCTACATCTCTTCCGGCCACCAGGTTAACGTCTATTGCGTCCCCTATTCATTTTTAAGCTTCAGTTCTTTGTTGCTTCTGCAAAGGTTTGCATTGCACCCCACTCAAGAGTCAAGGCTGAATCAAAGCAGCAGGTTACACAAAGTCCTTGTGCAAGTCTTACCTTGAAGCCCTGCAGTACTTCTGCCACCTGAAGGAAGAACAAAATTGGATTTGTTCAGAAGAGTGATATTTAACTCATTCAACTAGCTGCAAAATCAAGGTTTATATTTAGCTAAAAAACCTGCAGGTTAAGCCCAGGGCAGGTGAATTGCACATCTGGTTGTTTGGGAATTTAAGCAGCGCAGGAGATCGGAGCAGCACATCCTAGCGCGGGCGTTTGGCTCCAGGGCCACGCTCAGCTGCACGGGAATCGCCCTGGCGGGAGGCGCAGAGGCCCTGCGGCGAAACGCGCGCTACTCCACGACGGCTTTTACTAGCGTAAAGGGTCTCAACCCACAGAGCAGTTGTTAACTCACTTTCTGTTTTCAGGATCCATGCCACAGAACCTGATGGCAGCCAAGGGATAGTGTCGTCTGAAAAACACCCTGTCAGGGGAGAGGAGGAGAACGTAGCATTAGAAAAAGAAAGTGCCTGGACGAGGCTGGTGGGAGAAACAGACATTTGCAAAGTCAAGTTGTTCTTGAGCGCTCCTGGCTGCTGGGAAAGGGGAGGTGTGGAGGCCCTTCTCCCGAGAGCTGGCCTCGGAGCTGACCGCTGGCAAACTGTGCGCGGTTCTTGGGTTCAGCCTCGTCCTGCCTCCCACTGTTGAAAGACCATTGAAATGTTGCCACTAACTTCATTTAAAGCAGAATCATGTCCTGTGGGTCAACTCCATCCCTGGATTACAACACGGATTTGTCCTAGCAGGCCAGTTTTTCTTGATAGGCTGCAAATCAGTAAGTTGGCAGAACGACAGGCAAGACGAAAGCTGCGCTCAGATCGGAGGATTCAAGAACGAGCTGCATTTTCAGAAGCCATTTAGCTTTCCCCCTGTTCCCTCCCACCGGGATCTCGCCCCAGGCGAGCCCTCGGCTGCAGCATCGGACGGCGAGCACCGCAGGACAGCGCTGCGCATCCCCACTGCCGTTCTTACTTTCTCTGGATGTCCGTCAGTGTGATTCCCTGCTCGGTCGCTTTGAAGTGCACAAGGGTGGGTGTGGGCAGTGTCTCCAGCTCGAAGGTGGAGGAGATGGCTTTCTGGATGGCTGGGGCTCCCGTGAGCGTCTCCATGTTCACCGAGTTAAGGTACAAGACATTGCACACTGCAAGGACAGCGCAGAGCCAAGGTTAGCAGCACAGGGGCCTGCACCCCCTTCAGACATCACTCCAGTACGTCTCTGCTTCGAATATGTACAGCACATGCAAAAGCACCGGGTCCAGAACCAGGTCCCACGCATCATCATGCAGAACTGGACACATTTTGGGGGGTCAGATTTGTTTTGATGCAAATTAAAGATTTGGTGACTCAGAAATATTTCACAAATTTATTTTGGTTTACTTTAATTCTTTGCACTAATTGTTTTAAAAGTCAAAGTATTTAATTTCCGGTTTCTAAATGTCAAATTTGGATTTTTTTTTCTGTTTATTACATATTTCCTTTAATGAAAAGCAGAAATACCACAAGCCAACTAACTGTTCAAGCCCAACCTAAAACATGACATTTCAGGCTGATTGAAATGTTTAAAGGACTGTTGCGGGTCAAACTAAACTTTTCAGCTTGCCAACTTATTTTTCAGAATTTCCAGCAAAACAAAGCAGTTTCTGATTCCCACGACTACACTGTGACCCAGTCAATGCTGTCTCCTCCCCGTCACTCTCGGTTCTCACCTGGAGCCCACCCATCGCTGAACATGGGCTCTGGGCTCCAGGGTGCAGAAGTGAAGCAAAGACCTTTTCCCCTTCCTGACGCAGAGTTTCTAAGCGTCTCCCATAAGGTTGCACAGCAGTGTAACTAAACAGTGGCTTTAAAGAGCCCCAAACTGCACTGTCCCTGTCCTAGAAACTCCAGATGTTCAAATCTCATCAGCTAGCCAAAACGCAGAGAGTGGCTTAAAAATCAGGGGACACTGAAAATTAGAAAAGTTTAGGATCTTTTATCAGGCTTGGGGCCTCAAGAACTGTATTTTCAAGCCCGAAGCGCTAGGTAGGGGCAATTCAACTGTTCCTTGGTCAAAGGACCCTGATCCTTTCCTCACCAGCAGTTTTCTTCAGTAGGGACACCACTGATTCTGGAGCACGGTCAGGGCTATTTTCTCCATCGGCAAGATCTGCACAAACAACAAACAGAAGCGCTCATGTCCATGGTGAAATTCCTTTTCGTGCAGAGGGCACACAAGGGCTAGGACTGTGTGAATTGCAGGCTTTTAGAGCAGCAATTAATTTAATTGTCCTGCATCCCCCTCCTCCATGGCTCTCCTGGCTCTGCTCATCTCTGATCTCCCCACTCCTCCTCTCCCTGCCCACCCTCAGCAGTCTTCCCTCCCCGATGTTCATGGCTGACACCCTCCACCCCCAGCAAAAGCAAGTCATCACTGTCTCACACTCCAGGCAGGACCTGCAGTTCCCTGCTCTGCCTAGAGCCAGAGCAATCAGCCAGATTTCTGCTGACCCTTCCCATAGGGGCACCTGAGCCGTTCAGCTCTCTCCCCACTGCCGGAGCACGTGCTGCTGACAGGTCACCCTGCGCTCTGCCGCTTCCCCAGACACGCAGGCCAGGAGAGACTGCTGGGAGCATCTCTCTTGCCTGCAAGTCCTTCCAGTTAGGCTCTCACTTCAGGCACCTACCTCGGGTGGGGATGCTGAGCTTGCAGGGCAGCGCCAGCGGGGTGATGGCGTGCTGATACACAAAGGCGGAGAGGCTCCCTGCAATGCAGAACCGCGTGGTCAGCAAGGGTCCCCGTGCCTGAAATCTCCCATCCAAGCCAGCGTGTTTGCATAGCAAGCTCTCTGCAAGGTTGCAAAGGAGCTCCGGTCCTGGCTGGTGCTTTGAGGGGCTTTTGAAAGACGCCTCATGAGACTGCCAGGGCTGCTCCTGGGGGTGGCACTGTCCTTACCAAAATACAGCTCCTCACTGGCTCCTTTCAAGTGCACCCCTTTGGCAGACGACTCAATGAGGAAGTGCCGGACGAGGTCACTGCTGTCATCGCCTTCAAGTTAGATTGAAGAGAGCATCAGCACCAGCACAAGGGCAGTTGTTTCTGCCCTGCCCTCTCCTGCCCGCCTCGGGGTCACTGCGGCAGGGGGCCGGGGCAGAGGCAGTGCACAGCGCTGCTGCCCCAGGGCATCTGCTGGGGCTGGTGCTCTTTGCGGGCAGGAGCGTGCAGGGCTCCCTGTGCAGGGATGAGGGGGCATGCACAGATCCCAGGTCTACCCTCTTTCACAGAACAAGAGTCCTGCTGCTTTTTAGCTTGTTTAAACGCTGCACAGTTTGGCCAGCTTCTCTTAACACACTGAAGCAAAACACCACCTTTGTGAGTGAATCCCTGTACCTGTGTGGCTGTTGGATGGAGAGACAAGAACCTTCATCGCCAGTCCAAATGACCCCCGGTACGACGTGCTGTCTCGCACAATGAACGTGCCTGGCTCCTTGTCCTTCAGCAGCTGGATAGCTGTCAAAGCACAGGCAGAGACTGAGCCAAGCAAAACAGGTGGAACCTTCCCTCTCTGCATTTAGCATCCTGCTGATGCTCTCGCTGGGAGTCATTCCTTGGCAGCAGCAAGAAATAATCAGGAGAGCCTGCTGAGCACTCACACGTCCTTCGTGCAGGTACAGACCGCAGTGCCACAGCACTATGCTTCCTCTCCCTCCCGCAGCCGCTAGTAGCCTGCTGCCTGCAAGGGCAACTCGAGCAGTAAATGTACTTTCTGTCTCAGGGGCCCTGGCCCACCCCTGCAGGCCATGTATCCCCAGGGGCTCAGGGACTTGGACTCTGGGGACTGCAGAATAGAGTCAGCCCCTTCCAGAGCCATGCTGATTAATGCCACAGTCAGAAGAGCAGGCCAAGCTTTCCTGGACCTGGAGGGTATGGAGGGAGCCATGGCACAGCTTGCATTTCTGAGCCTTCCATCTTGACTAGTGAGCAGATCTCTCCGTGCTCACCAGCTCCCAGGATTTTTTGCATTGCCATCATCAAGTCACCCCAGGACCTCAGCGCTAGTAGGAGCTGTACTGATCTACCGCAGAGAAGCAAATCCCTCTCTGAGGAATAGGCAGTACTCCTGCTGACTTGCAGAGAACAAGTTTAATATGGGATTATCCTGGCAGACACTTGTGTTACCTTGTTCCCTGGTTATGCTTGGCTTGAACCAGTATTTTGATGTGTCCATCACAAACTTCATGGTTGGCTGCCCATCTCTGGGGGGACCTGCAAGCAGAGCAGGAGATATGCATCCTCTTCACAGAGAGATAGAGGTTGTGTGTCAGGGATGTAAACCCTAAAGACCTTTGTAGCAGACATCACTGAGGAGAACAGAGCCCTAACAAAGATGTTTCTCTTTCAAACTGGCCAGGGTTGAAGTATTTTTTCAATCCTTTTGATCAGAGCTTCCTCCCTGCTACTCGGAATAAGTCACTCTGCACATAATTATCTTTCTTGGCACGCCGTGATGGAGCTGAGAGGCAGCACATGAAGTCCCCTGGCAGTACCAGTCTGCCCAACTCTACAGAAGTCCACTGGACCATGGTGATTTACACCAGCTGAGGATCTGACCTGCTACAGCCCTCCTCCTTTTCCCATGAGAATCCCAATTAAAACACTCTGCCCTGACAGCTGCCTCTGCTAATCTCCTCCAGTGAACAACAGCCCTATTGTTTGCTCTTGAATGGGGGACCTTATAAACTTTGGATATCTTTTGATGCCCTCCAGAGCAAACTGGAACCCTAACCCCTCCTCCCTACATGTTCTGAGTCCCCCAAGTGTGAAATGACAACATTATGGCCCTTGTTCTCAGTGGCTATAAATGAGCGTATCTGCACCTCCCTCAGT